GACTATCCTAATATGGATGACCTAGGACAATGTCCCCAGCTCAGAATTTTTATTGTATTTATGTTTTCACAGCTCACCATTTGATATCGAATAACCAATTCATGTGCTCTTCCCTAAGGAAGACTATTTCACTCACTCTGAGCATTACATACTTGCCAGTAATTCTTTTTATAGGGCTGAGGCCTCATGGTCTTTTCCCTATCCACTTTAGCATGCATATTGTTGTCCTTGTTCAGCTCATGTTTAGGTAGTCATGTTAGTTAGACTTTATGGGTGTAGCTTCTGAATTTACTAGGAGACACAATCTCACAGAAAATTCCCTGATCCTCTGTCTCTGAACAGTCTTTCTGCCCCTTCTTTATCACTGTTCCCTGAGCTTTAAGTGAGGAGTTCTTTTAGAAGAAACTATTGGAACTGGGCTCCACAACTCTGTATTTTGGGTTGTTGTGGTTTTCTGTAATGTTAATCCTTTGTTGCAAAAGCAGTTTTCCTTGATGAAGGGTGAGGACCACACCTCTCTTTGGGCATAAGGGCACAGATATTTAGACTATAACTAGGATTTGTGATGTTTAGTAAAGGGATGTTTTAGGTTCTCCTCCAAGATCCATTCCTCAACTATTTCAGGGGTAGGTTTTAAGTAGCATGAATGATTTCTTTCTTGTCGAGCAGATCTTAAGAGCAATTAGTGAACCATTGGCTACTGACAAGGTGTGTGCCAGACTGTACTTTAGGGTTATCATGCTGTGTTGGTCATTGTTGTGGTTCATAGATGTCACAGCTGGGTAGGACTGTTGGCTGTTCTCCTCTTAGAAGCTTGCATGATGCCTTCTGATACCAAGAATCTGGTCCTCAGGTAGGAGGCTTTCTTGCTAGCTTCAGCTCAGGGGTCTCTGGGCCCTGTGTCTGAAGTGCATGGTGTCTTCAGCAATAGAGACTTACTTCCTACCTCAGTGAACCTAATTTTTGATACTTACTGATATCCAAAGCATAAATGAACCAGTGACTAAAAGAACATGCGACGGATTTGGTAAAAGACTTTTAAGATTTAACAATGTCAGACTTTGTTATATTCTTCTGTAGCAACACAGAAATGCCATCAGATAGCAGAATTTATCTTCCTTCTTATTTCTCTGTTCTTGATCACACAGAACTCTCACCTTTCCATTTGGCTGCTCTGTACTCTCCATTTTCCTTTCCTTTACACTCTTCTAGAGATGGGCTGGGACTGAAGCTCAGTGGTTGAGGACTTACTGGGTTCTGTCTTAAGCATGTAAGCTCAGGAACTCAATCAATCAGTCTGCCAGTCAATATTTCTGTACTTGACAGCTGTGTCTGTCTGATTGAGTGTATCTCATCACTGTGCTGTGCATTTAATTTCTAATTGGAGCATCATAGGTTTTTGCTTTAGTTTAGAAAAATTCTCAGAGAAGATGTGAGAAGCATCTTTGCATCACAGGTTTCTTAAGTAGCTCTAGCATCCCATTTCGTAGTCACTAACACCTGCACTAGTACCTCTGGTATCCCTCCCTGTAGGAAAGTGACATTCTTCAGAGCATTCCAAGCACATTCTCCAGCCTCTTATTAGAAACCCACTTCTTCTAGCCTGGCCCACTTTGCTCTGTAATATTAGAATGCAGATAAGCAGAGGTGGAGTGTGCTGATGGGGTCATTACTGAGCTGATCCTGCTTCACAAGCTATCCATTTTGCAGTGGAAATGTTATGATGTGAGTCACAATTGGATTTCAAAACCACATGTTTGTCACTCCATATCCAGGGGAGACAGAGATTAATATTTCAAAATTCCTGAGATGGCTCTGTGTATCTGCCTTGTTAAAATACATAATCTTGGAAGCCTGAGAGATAATGCCTTGAAGTTGAAACTATGATTATTTATTTTCTACAACTTCAGCATCATTTATGCAGCAAAGGATGAAAAAAGAATGACACTCCTCAAAACCACCACTAAAACTGCATTTAATATAGATTTAAACAGACAGCTGCTGGTTTACTGGTTCCCCTGCCTATTGCAGACACACAGGGGTTTAGCAGCTGTGTGTGCAACACAATAAGACAAATATGAGTGGGTACATTTAGACTGCAGTTTAATCTCCTGAAATATTTCTATGATCAATTACTGTAGCATCATGATACACAAATGTCCTCTTTAAATCAAAATGACCTGCCCACTCGTGAATACCAGTTCAGTGCTTTGCTTCAGAGAAAATCTGTGGGAAGGAAATTAATGCATAGAGAAATACTTTGTAATCAGAATATTAACATTTTGATTGAACTGATGGAACATTTAAATGGAAATATTCACTTGCCAAGCCCAAGCTTGGGAGGGACGCTACATCACACACATGGACCTGAGCCCTTTCCTTTGATTAGAGAGAATCATGTCAAGTGTAGAAGGGTGGGCCATGCTCATTCCCCCATCTATGCATATGGTTTGGGTTTGGTTTGGGTCTACTGATTACTGATGGTGTATGTAATAGTTTGCCTGAAACGCTGAGTTCTGTTCAGCAGAGCAGAACAGAAAGGCCGTGGAATGTGGTGGGGCATCAGCTGTGTCTGAGACAGCCAGATCTGTCCCCAACTGGCCATGGGACCATAGATAAGTGACTTTATATTCTGGGCTCAGTTTTTCGTACTAGTCAAAGGTGACGATCCTCGCCTGTAAGACCTCACCTGAGAGGGTGCGGATGGTGCAGAGGGCGAGTCCTGCTGTTTTTGCAGAGAGCCTGCATTTGATTCACCACACCTGCACCTTACAGCTCTCAACCACCTGTAGCTTCATTTCCAGGAGGATCCTATGTCCCCTCTCATCTGAGGGACACCTGAGCTCTCATGCACACTCCCCAACTCCCACATACGTAATTTTAAAAATCTTTAAAAATAAATCAAGTGAACAAGGAACATGGCTGAGTGGGGACGGGAATGGCTCACTGGAATCTACACATGAAGTCTGAATGGGCATGGGAGTCCACTTGTAATCCCCACGGTGAGGAGGCAGCACAGAGGAAATGCAGAGGACCCTGAATTACTGAATTAGCTGAATTACTCTGACTCAGTAAATAAAGCAAAGGACAATCTAGGGAGACACCTATGTGTTGGCTGCCACACGTAGGCACACAGGTGTATGTACACCTGCATATAGCCAGCTGAAAATGCACACAAACACACAGGACACATACACACACACACACACACACCATTGCAAAAGGAATACATCTGATTTTGATGTGAATTGAATGATATAAAAGCCTGTTGTATCTTCACCAATGACTGAACATCTCTACTCTCCACTAGAACAAAAGGTAAATTCTTAAAAAACCAACCCAAACCAAACCAAACCAAAACCCTTTTTGTTGTTTCTTTGTGAATTTCACATCATGCACTCCAGTCTCATTCTTCTTCCTCTCCTCAAATCCACCCTCCTTGCAACCACCACCAACAGAGAAATTAAAATTGGCTGTGGAAGCCTCAGTGTGTCACAGTGTGTCCCCCGGTACACCCTCTTGTCCACACTTCTTTGCTTCCAAATGTTCATTGCAATGACTTGTTGGTCTGCTTTCTGCTACTCTGTCAACACTAGAACCTCACTGGGACTGTTGTCCGATAGCCTGTTGTTGCCCTGTGTCATGAGATCCTGTAGTTTCGGATCAATGCGGTCGATGTTGGGGTGGGCTGAACCAAAGCCCTGGATCTGGGCCTGAGAGGTGTCTGAACTGGTAAGCCCTCCTACTCTCCTCTTCTCACACCCTTGGGGATGGCTTACGAGTAAACCCTGAAACCAGCAGCTCTATCCTGCTGCCCTCACTGGTGAGAGACAGGGGTCAGCTCTCCCACCTGTCATAGATAGTGAGAGACAAGGGCAGAGAGGAGGGCATCTCTCCCTCGCCCGTGCATACAAGTTGTTGGACCAGCTTTCCTGTGCTCACACTCTTGGGCACTCTCACCCATGTTACGGCAAGGGGCAAGTGGGGGAGGGGGAATCTCAGTGGTGGGATCAGCTCTTCCCAGCTCACACCCTTCAGGCCAGCTCACCAGCATCCCAGACACCAAGATCAGCTCTACTGTGCTGTCCAGATGAGGTGCAGGGTTTGCTCTCCTGAGTGCTGCAGGTGGTGAGGAATAGGAACAGCTCTCCTGCTCTCAAGACACCAGGGCTAGGTCTCCTGCTCTCCTCAGGTGTTGAGGGGCAAGAGGGGAGGAGGCTATCTCTCCCTCACCCACATCAATGCACAGAAGACAAATGGTAGGACCAGCTCTCCTATGCTCATATCCTTGGGGCTGGCTCACCCACAACTCGCACAGTGTAGGGAGCAGCTCTACCAAGTGCTGCAGTTGGCTAGAGCAGGATCAGCTCTCCTGCTCTCATGCCCCCAGGGCCAGATCTCCCAAGATGTCCAGGTGAAGGGTGGGGTCAGTTCTGCACAGCTCTCAGACATCAACGTGTCCCTGGGTGGTAGCCTAGACCAGGGACATCCACCTGGCCTTTGGTGGTAACAGACCCCTGCTGCTGCAGGGCGAAGGACCCAGTCATGGCCTCCAGTGGCAGCACAGATCAGGACACCACCGTAGTCTCAGGTGGCGTCACTGCTACTGACATCAGGCTGTTCCTCACTACCCTGGAGTCTCCAGTACTTCCCCTCTTCATTGTGCACACACCCTTATGCTTCCCTTTCTCTTCCCTTTCTCTACCACTTACTTGCTCCTCTTAGTGACACCTAGGGTCTCTGAGTGTTTGGGTTATCTCAGAAGTGGTCTCAGAACGGCCATGTCTCACTCATGCATTATAGCATCTGGCAGGGGTCATCTTGGGCATGGTCTGCCCTACCCAGGCTTGCATGCCAGTTGACTGGTGGTCATCTCAGAATAGCTCCCTTCCTGGCCCCGTGGTGCCAGTCTGGTGGTCATCTTGGGATGACTCCTTGCCCAGCCCACCCAAGTGGCCCCTTGAAAGGGTCATTTGTCTCAGCTCACACTTTTTTCAGGGAGTGTTAGACTACTAATCATTCACATGTTCATAGATCAGAACATGGAGGGTAGGCAGAGCCTCTCTCCTCTCTGCCACCTACTGACACACATGGGACACAGCAGCCATGCCTGCAATGCTTCTAGGGGAAGAAGTAAATTCCTTTCTTTTTTCTTTTTTCCTTTTTATTAATTTATTTATTTTACATGCAGATTGTAGCCCCTCCCTCATCTCCTCCCGGTCTCACCATCCCTCCCTCTTCCCTCTTTTCCCTGTGCTGCAGTCCTCAAAAGAAAGAATCCTCCTCCCTTACCATCTGACCCCAGACTACCAAGTCTCTTTAGGTTTGCTTGCATCCTCTTCCTCTGTGGTCTGGCAAGGCCACCTCAGCTGGGGCGGCAGCTGATGAGCAGGCAACAGAGTTCATGTCAGAGACAGCCCCAGGTCCCCTTGCTAGGTGACCTACATGAAGACTGAGCTGCCTATAGGCAAGGACATCATGAAATTTGCAGGCAAATGGGTGGATTTGGAAAAGATAATCCTGAGTGAGGTAACCCAGACTCAGAAAGACAGGCATGGTATGTACTCAACTTATAAGCAAATATTAGCCATACTACAATCCACAAACCTAAAGAAGCTAAGAAAAAAGGAGTACCCAAGGGAGGATGCTTAATTCTCATTCAGAAGGGCAAATAGAATAGACAGCGGACATGGTTGAATAGAGGAACCAGAACGGGAGCCCTTCTATAGATGTCCTCTGCAAAACTCCACCCAGCAGAGGATCGAAGCACAGCTAAACTTTGGGCAGAGCACAAGGAGTCTTATGGAAGAGTGGGGGTGTAGAAAGACCCAGAGAGAACAGGAGCTCCACAAGAAGACCAAGAGAGCCAACAAATCTGTGCCTAGTGAGGGCCTGAGGAGACTGATGCACCAACCAAGGACCGTGCATAGAGAGGACCCAGGCCTCTGCTTAAGAAGTAAATTCTTAAGTGGGATTTGAAGTCAGAGATGATGAGCTACTCAGTGAGTATGTAGTGAACTTTCAGAAAGCAAATTTTCCTTAAAAAATTTTGCACAGTTTTTGCATCCATTTTGTTAGCCTGTGTCTTTTTATAGGGGAACTGAATCCATTGATGTTGAGAGATATTAGCCACCAATGATTTTTAATTCCTGTTATTTTGATGTTGGTGGTGTATGTGTATGTGTATGTGTATGTGTATGTGTATGTGTATGTTTGTGTGCTGGAAGGGTCAAGGACACCACAAAAAGACCATAGAGTAAACTAACCTGAACTGATAGAGGCTCACAGAGACTGAAAAACCAACCAAAAACGTGCATGGGCTGAACCTAGATACCATACATGTATGTAGCAGATGTGAAGGTTGGTCATCATGTGGGTGCCCTTACAATGAGAATAGAGGATCTCTGTGGCTTGCCTTTGGATCCCTTTTCCCTAGCTAGGTTGCCTTGTCTGGCCACAGTGAGAGAGGGGGCACTTATTCCTGCTGTGACTTGTGGTATCAGGGTGGGTTGGTACCCTTGAGGGACTTCCCCTTCTTTGAGAAGAGGAGGGGTTATGGAGACATGGGGCATGGGTGTGAGGGTGGACTAGGGGGAGAGGAGGAAGGGAACTAGGATCAGGCTGTAAAGTGAATGAATGGTTAGATAGATAGATAGATAGATAGATAGATAGATAGATAAATAGATAGATACAAACAAAAGAATTTTGCCCTGTGACTTAATCATAATGAGTATCAGAATATATTCCACAAAGTAAAGATTTTCTTTTTCATGGGTTTGCTGTTGAGCTTGTGTTTGTCTTGGTGGACCATGAATATATACCAGACAAAAAGTTTAAAGCCAGCATGAGGGTGATTACACAAGTTGGCTTGAAACAATTATTTTTGGTTTTAAGGATCAGTAGTCTGAAGCTTCTGTTTTGTGATTTTAATAGTCTTTTGTGATAAGATAAATATATATAGCTCCTCTCCCTATGTCCCTATGATCTTAGTCTTCCTACTACTTTTGTTAGTATTTGGCATAAATGACTCAATTTGATGATGACTTCTTTCATAGACTTATCTGCCACTGAGATCTGCCATGCTGTCTAATATAGGGGAAGTATTCCGAGTTTCCTTTGGACAAGAAGTTTTGATTAAAGAGATGCCTGATACAGCTGCTTTTCTGATATTTCTTTCAACTCATTTGAAGATGAATTTTTCTTAAATGGCTGGGTTTATTCTATAGGGAATGTCTAGGTCACTCTTGTTTTTTGGGGAATGGAGGGTTTGACTTCGATACACAATTAGAAGTGTGACTATTTCTTTGGTTAAAAGAAATACTCTTTTCAGCCATTCATCAAGCAGAGGTTAGTATACGGGATGAGCAAGGCCCACAGGGCTATCAGATCATTTGTTTAGGAAGGAAGAGTCTTTAAAATGTTTAACGATTTGAACGGCTAGCTCTGGGTTCAGTGAGAAATACTACCTCGATATTGTAAAGTGGAAAGCAATAATTAGTAGGATTTTGCTGTTGGTGATGAAGACTGACTAGGACAGGAGAAATTAACAGCATCACTTCACATATGAAGAAACTAGAGTGGAAGGAAGGGAAGTGAGAATGGATGAGACTGATTTGAGAAGTTGTACATGGATTTGACCCAGCACTCCAAGTATATCCAGATAGCTGCTCCACTTCCAAAGTGTGCACTGAGCTTTCTTCTGTGCTTGAGTAACCTTGCAGGTTTGTGCTGCCCAGACCCCTTTTCCTACCCTGATTTCTCTGAGCCTCATCCACTTCCAGCCAGACACTGGCATGAGAGACACTCTGCAGATGTCAGAGAACCTAGTAAACATTTACACAGAGGAAGAGAACACTGACTCACTGTCTCATTCTCCCCAAGTTTCCTCTCCTGACCTCTTTTTCATATCAAAGAGAGGGCTGCTGACCTACCGTGAACTGAAGAACACATTCTGATCCTCAGGAGTCCATCATTACAGAATCACAGAATCAGGAGGAGGAAGGACAGACACACACCCTAAGCTTATATATAATTGTACAAAATTTCTCAGTCAACCCTCCATATGGAGTGTTTGAAAGTCACTTTTTAAAACACCAGGGGAGAGCAACAGGCTATAGAGAAGGCTCCTGAACTTCATTCATGTGTGTTGCCACAGGGTCTGGGAAGCCCAAGTCTTGGTGTTGGGGTGAGTGGTTTTGACAGCAAAGGCAAAGAGTCTCCGGGAAGGAGCTGCCTAATTAATCACAGGCCGTCAGAGTCCTCAACAGGAAGAGTGTAAGAGGCCTTAACGACCCCCCTCAGCAATGTTAAAACCCAGCATGGTATGACTTCATTTTCTTAGAGACACATGATTGATCTGGCTATTGGTGAATGGAGACACTGAGGCTTCTTCCATAGATGGTGTCATTAAACGGGAAGATTAAGTGCCTTTGCATAAAGGTGCTGAGAAGACTGAGTGATTCACCGGGAATGGAAAGAAGATAAAGAAAACTCTGAAATATGGATTTTTAACAGCGAAAACTTAGACTTTACCTCATTTATTTGCATCATAAAAGGCTTAGTGGAGAGTCTGAGTTAAGAAAAATGCCTCCTTTTGGTTGAATCTTCAGGGATTTAGAACACAACAGCCACTTTGGGTCTGGTGTCCCTGAGGGATGGCTTGTTTCTCACTGATGAGCCTATTTTGTGTTCCTTTAAGCTTTTCAAGACTGTGACAAGAAGTGTCTCTTTTATACAATGCAGCCACTCCTGATGAGACCTAATAGACTAGTGTGAGCTGGGCAAATGTGATATGCACTAGTGTACACAAATTAATTGGAACAATTAATAAAGCCAGTTACTAAGATTCAAATATACATAGATGAATATAGGACTTTGGGAATCAACTCTGCAGAAAATCAGGCATGGATGAAGCATGATAGGAAACAGAAGGAGATAGGGCCTGTGTTAGCAGAAGTATCCCTGTTGCCTTTGATGTGTTCAAATTCAGAATCTTCAATATTTCTTGGTAGGACAAATCAAACCTTTTTTTTTGATGATTTAGCCCAGGAATTCCTTAATTTGCAGTCCTGTGAGTGTGCTAGACCCTTAGAAGGGATGGCACTTAACATATGCTTTTGGCATGCCATCCATTCCTCATTCCACATTCAGTGTCAATGGAATATCTTGTCCTGAGTTACTCTGGAGGACACAAAAGAAAACTAATATCTAACTAGTGATGTGACACAATCCAACATCTAGGATTTGTGATATAAGAATCAACATGTTCTCTGAGACCTTTGGACATAGTAAGGGAGAAGGCAGGGTTATGGGATTTAGCTGCTCGTAAAGGAAAAGAAGGCAGCCAGCACATGGCATCAAGCTACCAAAGGCTTTGAGATGGTTGCGTGAGGATTCCAAATTAAATTTAGGTTGGGCAATCAGATTTGGTGCATGACATGCCTGCAAAAGTTTGGTCTTAGAGAAGGAGGGATGAGGTCCTGTTGCGTATAGACATGAGATGACCTCCCTGTGGGGTAATATGGGTATTTATTGCACGTTCTGTAACATTTGGTAGGAGAGGCTTTCAGTTCTGCTCAGTAACTGGACATAAAAGTGTAGTTTCCCATAGTCTGGTCCCACATAGCTCTCTCAATTTACTCCACTTTATGTTCCTCCACGGATGCCAGAGTTGCTCTGATGCTGCTTCTCTTGCCTTTCATGATTCTGTGTTGTTTCATATAGTGTCGCCTCTACTGCGCTAAAAATAGTAGGGTCAGATGAACTAGAAGTAAATCACATGAGTAGATCACATGAGTGATCTGACAGAGCTCCTGAAAATAGAAGTGTGAGACACCGTAAAAATGCAACTATGAGTAGAGAGGGAAGTCGGTTGATTGCCCAGAGATCAGGCTGGCACAAGGGTTGCTGCACTATTTCAGCTGTACTGGGGGAACTGTCCCATGGACCCCTTGAGAATGCTCCTGGCCATGGTTGAGTATAGCACCGCCTCTTGTGTCAACAGTTTCTCTTTTCTGGGCATCTTGGAACTGTAAGGCTTGCCTCTGTCTGGTTTCTATCAAGAGAGATCCCAAGGACAGCAGGGTTCAGTTTGTACTGTCAGAGCTCACACACTTGTGTCTCAAGTGTCTGG